CTGACATGTTGGCAGATTTCTTAATGATTGGGGCCGCAATTTAGAAGTGTCTATAATTATTTCTGTCTTTATGGCTGCTTGGATTATTTTTAAATTTGATTAACATCGAAAAACAGAGAATAATATGCCAGTTTCAGAGGAGACCGAATAAAATCTGAACTTGAACAACTACGCAAAGAAGACATGGAATTGAAAGAAAAGTTTGATAGTGTTGTGACAGAGAAAGAAAATCTAGTAAGTTCTTCTCGATTGTTCGAAAACCATCATAGAGAAAGTACTTATCGTTCATAGGATGAAATTGGGAATTAGGATAGCCAGCCAAGCGGCCACCGACTTGATATGTAATGGTAACAAATGTAGTCTTCCTCTAGTCACATTTTAGTCATGCGGTTCTTCATTATGAAAATTAGGAATATCGCAAAAATAGCAAACGGAAAACAGAGGCTTATGCAACACTTCCTTCCAAATAACGGGATCATTCTGTTTTAGTCTAAATCGGGTATCGATCGCATAGGACCCTTTTCATGTTCTTTTGTTGTGTAGGAGAGCAAATTAGAATCGGTTTTATTGACAATTTGTGTTGGATTTGTTTATGCGTAATGAGAGGTTTATCGGATAAAAACTGAAACGCACATCGGTGGTTCCTACTACTCATTATCCGAGTGTTTGTCGTTGTTTCCTTGGTCTTATGGTGAACGGAAGGCATTTTTATAAATGTTCTAATTTTTGTCTTGTTATTATTTTTTCTCAGTGGATTTTTTATTCTTTACTTATTTCGTTTTGTCGTTTTGTTTTGAATTTTTATTTCCTTTGTTTGTTATCGATTTCTTAAAACCAGGGTTTTTAATGCTGAACTTGTCAATGGTTTTTTAATGCTATACTTGTAACTTTTCGACTGCATTCCATCTTTTCATGAGAATTCCTTTTTGTGTTTTCAGTTACAAGTTCTCAACTCGAATCAGGACAAGGATAAGGAGGCTGTCCAATTGTTGCAAAAGGAGCTATCGGCAGCGAACAACTCAGTTATGGAACATGCGAAGGAGAAAGAGGGGTGCGACTGCAACCGTTTAAATCTTTTGGTTTCCTGTTGTAGAATTTTGTACGACTACTCGTTTTAAGATTGCTGGTTGAACTGGAATCATTAAAAAAGACTGTAGCTGCCGAAGTAGAGTCGAAAAATGCGGCTATCGAAGAGATTTCTTTAGCTAAGCAACAAATACAGCAACTCTCTGAAGAGGTCAGTCCTACATCAACCCGACTTTCTAATTGTTCATTGGTGGGCTCTAGATTGATTGATTGGTGTTCGCTTCAGAAAAAAGCTCTGGAAGACCAGCTCCAAAAGTCGTCGCGTGATGAAGCAGAGATGAAAGAAAGGGTCTCAAACCTTGAGCGAGACAAGGTTCCGTTTTCCTCAAAATCATTCTTATTGAGCGTATTCGTCAGTAATTGTTCATGGGTGAGAAAAAAAAAACGAAACAAAACTCATTTGAGTAGTGAAGTAGCATCGATATTAAGGAAAATCTACGAAGTCAGCATGAAGAGGAATTGAAAGTTGCCCGGACACAATTACAACAGCAGGCGGGCACATCTTCACAAGTACAACAACAGGTGAATAATTATGCTTCTAGAATCAACCGTGAACTCTAGTACTGTGTAATGTTTACTCTAGTAAACATCCAAAACCGCTAAGATCAATGGAATTAGCCCCTCAGCTAGGGTTGCCTCGTATCTTTTGCTTATTCTTGGGGTTAAGTCCATCACATGCTCGGCCAGCCTTTTCCTTTAAAGGTTAATTAATTATCCATTGTGCGTTGCTGGAAATACGCCCATGCGCCAGAGAGGTTGATATTTGCCATTATCACTGTGAAAAGCTGTCTCTCGAAAGTCTTCTACGTTTGGAGGGTGCAGCAGTTTGCCATATTTTGTGCTCCTAGATTCACTGCTTTCTTTCTGCGAAAAGCTTTCGTCAGCACTAATTTCATCCTGTTCGAGGCCGGAATTTCATTGACAACTCAGCATCTTCGTGAACTGCTTTAAG